TTACTATTATTATAACAGTCCATTGTTAAAGTCAGTATCGAAGAGATAAAATAGTTCAAATATCTTTACTTGCTTCCAATATAAAAGTCATTAAATCTATATGTAAGATATGAAGTAGATGCTTATTAAAATTTATACAAAACCAGTCCATTAATATATATTTTTATTTATTTTTATTATCGTCCGATGCAATTTGCGATGCAATTTGCGATGCAAATTTTGCCATGTAATCGACGCTATTCTCTCCCATCAGGCATTGCATATGTGAAACAACCTACAATATTAATATATTTTTAATGTAATATTAATATATCAAATCATTTTTATTTTATATTTACATCGGATGATGGACGATTATCTTCTACATTGGTTTCATTTTGATTTCTCTGCGAGATCTTCATAGGGGACTCCAATTGTCCTAGGAAGCTGCTTAATGAATATTCTGCTACCTGCAGTTTAATTTCATTATTAATAAAAGAATTTATTTACCCTTTACTTAAAATTCTTAAATTCAACCTTTAGATTTACCTCGCTATTCAACCAATGGTGTTCTCCTTCTTTAAGTATTTGCGTAGCGCTTGTTATAATGGAATTTGTAGATTTTGGATCTCTTGCCACTTCAAATTCATTCAAAAAATTTTTCTCCTGTGGTGCATTTATAGTTATAGATGGTGATTTATCATCTTGTTGATCATCAATCTTATTTATAGGAGGTTCGTTTATTTTATTTGTTTCTTGAAGATTAGAAGTTATATCTTCTGGTATATTGCTTGATGTAGATATTATTGGTAATACCCTTTGTACAATAAGACTCTTTTGCCTCACGGTTCTACCTCTTTTACTAAAACGTGTCTTAAACTTCTGTATTTAAAAAAATAAAATTACTGTTTCTGAATTCCTTAAAAAAATATTGAATATGAAACGATAACGAACATCTAATTGTGTTTTAAAAGCATCTGGTGTTCCAATCTTATGATAAGTTTGTGGAACTAAAGGTCTTCTGAAAGTCGATTCTTTCGTTGAAAGTACTCGAGAGGAAATCACAGTTTCATTGCTTCCAGAAGTATTATCATATACTTTACTCGTGCCATAACTATGTTTCGCTATAGATAATAGCTTTTGCAAAGTAAGACACAAATTGCCATCGCTCAAAGTTGTTGATGTGGACTCTCCAGCGTGTTGTTCCCGATGATTCCAGTCCCACCAATATTCCAATGTGACTTTTGACTCGCGACCAAACTAAAAAACTTAGAAAATTAGAATTTGCATGTTTTAAAGGCAATTGAAAATGAATGATGAAAGGCAATTTGAAATTCGAAATTTTTGTTCAAAGTAAATCTGATAAAACATGTACCATTAAAAACAGATCTCCTACAGTAATGGTATTTGCTTCCTCAATGTTCCATCCCTTTCGAATTCTTTCAATAGTTTCCCTACCTGGAAATCTATTAAATTCCGTTTTCTGCTCTAGACTAGACTTTTCGGTGTTAGTAATAGTCGATGGTTTTTCTGAAACATTACTACCAGATTCTATTGCATCTATATCGCTATTATTGTCTGGCATAGTGCAATTATCCTCTGTACGATTCATACATTTCTTATCTACTTTATTTTTCTTAATCCCCTTCTTTCCAACACCTTTTATATATTGCACTGACCCTAACAGATCCATTCTGGAACTTTTTAATCCCAGACGTTTTTCATAAGAATTTAAGCTAACACTGTTGCTAGTTAAATATTCTCCAAGATTTACCATTGGCAAGGCAATTTTACTTCCTTCAGGTGGTGCAACTCGTAACAATCGGCTATCTTTCATTTCATTAACAACAGCATTTTCTAAATTTGGGAACTATAATTATCTGTATAGGATTTCTCGCAATATTTTTTTTATTTTTTTTTTTTATTTGAAAGCAAGATATTGGCGATTTATTTTGAAGAAAGGATACTGTGTTATACTTTGCAGGTCTCCACCTTTGTTGCAGAAATATTAACAAACTAGACAAACGTCTTTGTATTGGCAATAAAGTACGTACTCTGGGATTCATAGAAGAAGCTTGTACTTGCCACCATGCCATATTATTGCGAGGTCTTAATTCTATTGTTATTCTAGGAGGAAGTTTGATTTCTTCTTGCCAGTCTATGGAAGTATTACACATTTAATGAATTACGTTACGTTTTAGATTTAATTTATTGAAAATACCTTCTAGCTGATTTAGTTTTCTTAATGCTCTACATATAGGTGTTTTAATTCTCATAGTTTTTCCTCTAAGTCTGACTTGCGTTGAACCCCAATAAACTAGTTCATTTAGTTTCAAGTGTACTTTCTCATATATTCTTGGTAATTTTCTTCTAAGCTCACCATAATTGATCAAACCATATAGTTCTTGTGAAGTTTTCTTTACATCTGTACAATGAAGCATTCGCATTGTTAAAATAAAAAAAACATATGAAAAGCACCATAAAAAAGCACAAGCGCATATTAAATAATTACCTTCTGAAAATTTCAAATGTTTCGATATCTTCAGCCAAGTTCTGTAATAAAAATGCCTAATCTGTTCCTTATTTTTTATTACAGCATCTGGCAGACCTTTTTTCTTTCCCTGACTCAAGAAATAACTCTGCAGGGCATCAAAATCCTTTCCATATTCGTTCAAAGCTTTGAAAAAAGTGTTCTTATCCTCCATAGACCATAATTCGCAAGATCTTTTCAAAGATTTTACTTTCACCTCTGTATTGTTCTCCTCATCCTTGGAGTCTATTAAGTCATCAGCAAATCTTTATCAATTGTGCAACAAATTAGAATTTAATTATGAAGATACAGACCTTTTCTTTCCACGTTGTTACCATCACCTATGTCCACTTTTACTTTTTTCGTGCCTCGAACGATACGAACTTGAGTGTTCTTAGAATCCGTGGGCACTTTCGCGTCTGCAGAACCCTGTACATTTTGGGACGAACTTTCTTCCTTTTTGCCTGTTGTGTTGATTCCCTGAACTTCACAATCCTTGTTTCTCACGTTAGTCTCCATTCTAGTGTTTGCACGTGAAAAAATTTTAAATGGCAACCTCAAAACAAGCTTCGAGTCCTTTTAGACGTGCCGAACTTTATGACTTATCAGAGCAGGCAGCGTTTCGCCCAAGTTCATGACAAATTTACGGATAAAAATCTTCTCATCGTGGTTCACGACGTTAATATCATAACAAAATATATCAAAGAATGCTGTAAAAATTGTGTTTTAGCGTAATCGGAGAAACAAACCTAACGGTGATTTATTATCGATGCCAAAACGTAGTTACATTTATCTTCGTACTCACGCACGAACGTAAACACAGGTTTTCTCATTGTTCGTGCTGCTTGATGACTCAAAGGGATTCTAATTCCTGTGCGAAAATAACCGCGATGCAGTCGAAAAAAATTACGTAATTATGAAAATTCGACGACTTCATTCAGCTTCTCAAACACGTCCACGCTGTGTTTTCTTATAAGCCACACACTTCTGACCGCGTTTCTGAGCAGACTGGCTACTTAGAATTAGATCTGCTAAACTCAAAATCTGCGAGTTAAAAAAATACCTCACAATATTTATACAAAAATACACGTAGCAAAATCACGTCGATTTCATCGAGAAACTGTTGAATTAAAATAATTAATCAACGCGTGTCGGAAACTTTCGGAAAATTCGATAGCTTCTTCGAAAATCTTTGAAGCTTTAACAAGCGAAATTGAAATAAATTTTCAGATACCGCGAAAATCTTGATAACCTTAGACTTGGAAAGTTTCGAAATTTCAAAAAATCGGCAGATATTCAATAGTTTTATACCTGAAATTAATTCGTTTTCTCTTTTGTACAAGATTTCGCAAGATCGAATTAATATTCAAACGAAATATTCACAAGATCTTCAATATTCTGTGTAAGATATAAAATATGAATCTTCGAGGAGATCGTAAAAATTGTTAAAATTTTTAAGACCTATCAAGACACAAGAATTTGAATCATTTGTTCAAAGTAATTCGAATCTTCGTAAGATTTAAAAAAATTGAGATTTAAAACATCGTTAATACCGTGTAATCGTTAATACCGTGTAATCGTCTCACTGCGTTCCGTCCATGACATTCTAAAAACGATTTTCGCGCGGCATCGACGCTGGCCAGTAATTCGTCACACGTGTGCAACAGCCGGCCAATAGAATTGCGCGGATAACCGTGCACTGAACCAATGAAGTTCTTTCGTTTCTCACGCATTGAAAGTCGCGTCGTTGTTTCCGATCTTGAACGAACGGTTTTCCATGATGTTGTTCGTGGATGGTGGCCTTGATAGGAAAACCCGAGACACAGAGCAGAGGAGCGTAGTGTACTTAATTAATAGATCAATCGATTCATTTTAAAGAGATCTCGGACGTTGACCGACGCCTTGATGGGGCGAATAACGACGGTATACCACCCAGTTATCAAGCCTACTGCGGTATTATAATTGGTCAGAGCGTGTTATGCACTCGTCAAATTTGATTGCCATCCCGGTTTTGATAACTGTAACCTTGGTTATATTCACCACTGCGAGTCTACGTCAAAGGTGACAACGGGCCAAGAATCATACAGTTTTAACTTGACTTGTAGCAACTGCGCAAGGGTGGCGCGAGGTGTTAGTGACAAGTTGTATCTAACCTTAAAATGCGATCATCCGCGATAACCAATGTGATTGTACTGTTTGGACTGCGTTTGTTGTGTTGGAACACGGTGGATGCTAGCGGCGGGGCCCTCGACACAAGCTCGAACTTCCAGTCTGGCTCAAGTGGAAGTTCACATTCCAAAGTCACAGCATTCTCCGCGACACTTACCGATGGACTGGCGCAAGCCGTGGCTCAAGAAGCTGGTAAATTCTACGCTTCGTCAATAATTTTTTTCGTTGCCTTGATCCTCTAATATGCATAGTTCGTGCGAGATATCTGTAACACGCAATATTCGAATTTTCCTACGAATCTCTTGTGTGGTATATTATGGCCTTGTTCGTTTTTTCCCTTTAAGTTGAAAGTACGAAGTTGAAAGTAATGTTTTAAATGCATTTGAATATTTATTTCTGAAGTTTGTTATTTTAAGTTAGTCTCGCGTATTGAATTTTAATCCAAACTATGGAAATTGGAGGGTTAACTAGTGATGAGTTTAAAGACATCTTGAACTGCTTTGAAATTAGATCGTCAACTAATTTAAATCATTATTTGTTGTATCGTTCAGTTAATTTTTTGCTTTAATCTTTCATGTGTATAAGTAGTTGTACGCGGCATGTATATGCACAACTAATATTTAATTTTAAAAGGTTTTGTTTATGATATTGATTGTTGATATCATTCGGTGGTGTTTATAAGGCTTGTTTAAAAAGAGAATAGCTTTCTTTTTTAATTTGATGATTTTGTTGTGTTATTAGCTATAAAAGAGATACAAATGTGTTTATGATAAAAATTCACATTACGGGATATAAATTTCACAAGTGATCTAATTGTTCAAAAGTTAATCAGTAATAACCTTTGTATTGTTACTATAAACATTCAGTGTCTATTAACAAGATACACTTCTTTCGCTGTCATTAATAAATAATTGGAGCAAAAGCTTCTTACATATCTTTAACAGATATAATTATAGGCCTAAAAGGAAAAGGCGTCTGTATAACAAGCTACATGTAATCATAAACACATACAATCAAACGTAGGCTGTTTAATTTATTACAGGTTCCGATACTTGTAACGATGACCTAGCTTGTCTTACACTGGCTTCTCATGATCGACTAGGTTTAGAAGCTATCAAATCACTTCACCGTCAACTAGATGATGATGCCAATGGAAATGTGGATCTTTCTGAGTCAGATGATGTAAGCAAATTTTTATTTATAACTCCTTGTGTATCTCAAGATATAAAAAGCAATCTGTACCCTTTCTAGTTCTTAAGAGAAGAGTTACAATATGAAGCTGGATATGAGAGGAGGCAGAGGGCTTTTCATCATAATGATGATATGCAAATTAGCGTTCGAGAACTTTGGGAAGCCTGGCTAAGGTCAGAGGTATTGTCTAAAATATGATTGTTTTTTTTTTTTTTAATAATTTTAATTCTTTTTGATATCTTACTATGTTAATATTTTTTTATAGGTTCATAATTGGACTATAGAACAAACATCAGAATGGTTATCTTCTAATGTAGAGCTTCCACAATATGTTCCTACTTTTATACAACATCGTGTAACTGGTGCTACACTACCAAGGTTACTTTCTTTGTAGAATATATTATCTTTATATTGTAATTTTTACACAAAAATATATTATCGAATTAATATTTTTTTATTTCATATTTAGATTGGCTGTGAACAATATGCACTACTTGAGTAATGTGTTGGGGATCAAGGATCCCATTCATAAACAAAAAATTGCCTTAAAAGCTATGGATGTGGTTCTTTTTGGGCCACCAAAGGGTAAACGATTATTAAAAGATCATTCTTCTGCTAACATTTTTTTTAACTGATTTACAGTGATTATTCAATACCGTGTTATAGATACTGGACATAGCGTGAAAGATTTGATATTAATAACATTATTATTCGGAGCGCTCATCGGATGTTGGTATGCGTATCAGCAAAAGAAAAATTCGCAAAAACATCTTCATAGAATGATGAAGGATATGGAGAGTTTACATAAAGCAGAATTGGCACTGGAGGACTTGCAAGTGTGTTTTATTTTCCTTCGGATCTTACCAATACGTTACCTTTGTTAATATTATATTTCTCAATTTACAGAAAGAATTGGAAAGAGCACGAATGGAACAAGAAAGTGTAACTACCGAAAAACAAAACTTAGAAAAACGTTTGCAAGATGAAAGTGTGGGATTGCACGCTTCTTATTCCGATCTCGAAGTTTCTCAATTAAAAGCAGAAATTGAGGTATACATTTGTCAAACTTTTATATTTAAAATTTAAGGGCTAGATTTTTTTCAAAGTGGAATTGATGTTCACTTTGCAGATGTTAAAAGTTGAATTGCAACGTGCAGAGGGTGAACTTGAAGATAGATGCTGGTCTCCTCCTCCTGGATTGCAACATTGGTTACAATTAACTCATGAAATTGAAAATAAGGCATATACCAAGAAGAAAATAGCTGCAGAAAAACAGCTGCAACAAGCGCGAGAAGCAGTAAGCAATAAGTTCTCTTTTAATTTAATTAAATTATTTTTACACAACTCAATTATTTATTATTTAATTGTATTACTGCTGTCTTTAGTGCGAAAAACTACGAAAAAAAAGATCGAGTTTAGTAGGGGCATTTGTTTCAACTCATGGAAAATCTATTGACGAAGTTGACAAAAGTATAGTTGAGGCAAGAACTGCTCTAAATGAAGTCACTGCAGAATTACAAGAAAGAGTACATCGTTGGAAGCAGATTGAGCTTTTATGTGGCTTTAATATAATTAATAACAATGGTCTAAGCTATTTAGAAACTGTTCTGTACAGAGGGACTCCAAACGGTCGAGGTCTTGGATTCAGAGGTATTTATATATAAATATTTAATGATTCAAAACTGATTTTTATATTTTGATGTAGTGAAAACAGGAAAATTCAGTTAATATTTGTTTGACAATCTTGGTTTAATTGACGACTGATTTTTATAAATTTTTCAATAGAATTTTTAAACTTTAATACGATAAATCATCTGTGATTGATTGCAGGTCGACTCAGTAGTCAAGATGACTTAGATGACGAAGCAAACTCAGTCTACTCGTCTTCATTATGTGGTGCCGCAGGTAAGCAGGAAACGGACTTCCAAGAGCATTTAGATTGACAATAATAATGCTCAATTTGTAAATACTACTGTAACTTTGATATGACACTTACTTACAGTATCTAAATATCTTCCATTTTCTCTTTCTTATACTCGTAGATTTCTCCGAAATCAATAATTTACTAACTTGTTTGTTTTCCTAATAGCAATAATTTGGATTTTTTTGTGACAATTTCTCGTGATCAAATTTTCGAGTTTCCAGCTCGATAGATAGATACTCGAAAAAACTAAATTGTGATGCGTGAATTAAATATTACGAATGTTTTTTTTT